GTAAGCCTCTACCATGAGTGGTCCTTGGGCCTTGTATTAGGTGAACCATCAGTTAAGTTTACTGTATAGGTTTGAAAAATCCCCCCCAAATACATAGGTGACCCAAAAAATACATAGGTGACCCAAAAAATACATAGGTGAAACATCTATAAATCTAAAGAAAAGATAACATGGCCACAATAAATTTTTACTAAACAAAACACCTAATGCACGAATCGCACATCATAAAAAAATCTGACTAAAATTTCGACTTGAAGAATGTATTTTTAATTAAAAGATAAAGTAATTATAGTGAAAATATATAGAAATTACTACACTACTTTCTGAAGTTTTCACGGTAAAATTCGTGTCTAGGATAATACAACAATATATCTCCTTAACAAAACTGTTGCTATTGAAATATAGGTTACTAAAAAAGAATAACAGTAAAACCATAAAGAAAGCGATAGAAAAGTGAATTCAATCGACTTTTACATATATTAGGTTGATCAGAAAATCCAAACTCACTTGGGAAGCGGAAAGAAAAGAACAACATTTTATGGCGTAACACCAAAATTTATTCTTCAAAATAAAGTCCATCATTCTTGACACACTTCTGACAGCCATCAGCCAGCAACCTAATCTGTTCCACTGGCTTTCAACAAAAAAATGGCAATCCACTGGCTTCATGAAAAGTGTTAAATCGCTGGTCGTGGAGGAAGTGTGCCGTTGAGTAGAATTGGCCATAGTCAATCGGAACAGCATCGGGACTGAATGGTGGATGTGGAAGAATCTCAACACCATCCATCTGTTTGAATTTCTCCTTAGACAACTTGGCAATGTTTGGCTTCGCATTGTCTTGCTGAAACAAAACCCGAGCTCGACTGATCAAAACAGGATAATCCTTCTTTAATCTGTCGTAAACGCGATCTAGCTGCTGATAATACAGTTTAGTGTTGATGGCACGACCATTTCGAACAAACTCGAAATGCAGTATTCTTCGGAAATTCCACCAGAGAGATATCAAGATTTGTTTTCTTTCTGCTTCCTAAGTCCGGACTTTCTGGCCAACCTAGTATATACATACACTGTATTGCGGATACTCTTTGATTAATACTGCTACCATATAACCGAATACTAACTGATGCATGGTCGGGTTATCGATGATTAAACTGGAACCCTCACCAGGGTTTTGTGCTGAGAGGAGGGACTAGACATCCATCTTCTTTTATGTGCCGTGTCCTTTCAGGGCGTTGGCGATCATGGCTCTCCACAATTTCCTGTCCTTAGTGTTTTTGTTAAATTTCGTTTCGCCATTCATTTACCCAAACTCCCTCGGTGTAACAGAGAGAGAGAGAGAGAGAGTCTGGGAAACACACACACACACGCGTGTATTTTTTTTTTTAGTGAAATTGGAGTAGATTTGAATAACGAAATTAAATCAGAGCATTTTGTTTACTGATGGGGAAATCTGATTTAGGGCAGAAGTTGTACCCATTGAATCGAGGTCATCAGAAGACAATGGAAATGGTCGAAATAATTTTTATCGATTAAAACTTGAAATAGAACTGAGTAAGATAGAAGAACTTTGGAATTCACATGATTTTGGTTGAAGCAGCCAGAACCCCGTGATAATTGCGTGTGAAGTAGTAGGGCCAAGGGTCAGTTATAACCAGCCGTGTTTATATAAACGCGTAGTTATGCTGAAAAAGGCAGACATATTAAAAAGAGAAGAGAGAATTCGCCCGAGCGAGCGTTGAGAGGTGGAAAGCCACTATAACTTTAAGCCCCGCACATAAATCTTTTTATCCCTCCATCACAAGAGTCAGATATCGTTCTGAGACGATTTAACAACAAGATAATCACATACACTTTCTCTCTGTCTAGAATTCAATGTATGAGGTTTTTTTTTTTTACTTTTCTTTCTGTCACCCATTTCTCTTCTCTACTATTCTTTTCTGCTATAGAAAAGACATTAACAATTCAACCATTGAATCGATGTTTGTTCGGCTTTTTGCAGACATTTATTTTATTTTTTTATTTTTATTTTTATTTTTTTGCTGCATTCTAAATTTTTTAGCGCAGACTCCCCAACCGTGTCTACATCTTCAGTCGACCGTGAATAGACGGACATCACTTCTGCTTTCTGGATCAAACAAATCACAACGTGGACAGGAAGCAGAATTAAACCAGCGGACCGGTCGAATAATCTACAGATGTTCAGGTGACCTATGGTCCTTCCCATTAAGTTCGGTTAAGACCGAGTAGACACATCAACCCCAAGAGTAAGACACCGGAGGTTGAGAGGCTGGAGCGAAAGTGTTAGACTTAGTAGGTCATGCGTTCTTTTCCTCTGTCCCTCTTGCCTTCAATATGTTTCGTGAGTGTTAACTTTTCTAAACTTTCTTTCCTCATTATGTGCCCTAGATAGTTCAACTGTCTCTTCCAGATGCTAAGTAGAAGTATTATTTTTGTTTCCATTTTCTCTAAAACTTCATTGCTGCTCATGATATTCCCAGTATCCTTCTGTATAACCACATTTCTGTTGCTTTGCGTCTCTTCTTCATCTGTGAGAAGATTGTCCAGCATTCACTGCCATACAGGAGGACTGATATTACGTAACAGTTCAGTATCCTTTTCTTTGTTTCTTACGAATTTTTTCTGTTGCTTAATACTTTGCTAAGCTTTTGAAAGGCATCTTTCGCTATCCCAATGAGTATTCGGATTTCGGTGTGGCACTTTCCATCCTTTTAACACGCTTTCCAACTCAGGATTAAAAACGACTCCTGTCAAAAGGCGGATAAATACTTTCATGGACTCAACGATCATCTTCCACAGGTGCAAGAATATATGAATACCTGGGTTGGTGTCCAGGCGCGTGGGAAGCCCACTGGGAAGGTCGAGCCCCTAGCCTTTGTTAAGGTATCCAACCAAGAGAAAGAAAACAGATGTAACATCTGCGGCTTGACAGCATCCAATGATGCTCACTGCTTCTTCTTTTTGGGGGTATCCTTTTCTTGTTTAGTCACTGGGACTAGCCCAGTGCAACGAACTTTTCCACTTTAAATATTGCTGCACAGACATTTCATGAGTCACAATTGAGCAATAATATCTCACGATGGCCATACTCGACAACGATGGCCATACTCGACAACGATGGCCATACTCGACCACAAGATACATGCGCTATATAGTGTGTGTGTGTGTGTGTGTGTGTATTTGAGCACCAATCCTTCATTTATGCATGTTTCATTAAAAACGACTGACAAGGTATTACGGTTAAAATTTTTATCTATTTATTCTTGTGTTCTAATAATTTTTCTTTTCTGGACATAAATTATGTAAAAATTGTCCGAATGTTCTGAATGTCCGAGTGCTTACAGCTATTCTTTTAAGCCATTATCATGGATGATTTTATTTTTACTTTTAGCTGAATGTATAGATTCTTTTATGCATACATTTAGAGTTATAGG